AAATACGATAGAGCTAAGATCACAGCTTTTGTCTGATTTTTTGTTTGTTTGTTAAAGAATATCTATTTCTAACCTGCCGATACCACAGAGTGTTAACCCTTTGCATTTGACGGCACTTAATATCAGTTAAAAGATCACATCTCAATAAGATTGAGTTTATTCATAAACCTCATACGTCTAACATTACTTTATTGGGGGATTTTTAACTTTAGGTTTTTGCCATGCATCATACGCTTTTGCCATATGTTTGGTCACTGACTGACTTGTCAGGGACAGCCAAGTATAGCTTCACAGTTCATCCAATAAGTTACTCATTAAAGTGTTCCCTGGCGCCAGCAATTCATTTCTTAATATCATTTTGTTATAACAAAATTAATGTTTGATTTGTTTTTTTAAATTAAAATTTGATTTTTTTTTGCTGTTTTATTAATCTTAATCATCCACATAAAGTACAATTTGTATGTTGCTATGTCAATGATATCAGTCGGTGCTTTGGTTCCGTTAATTTCCTGTTGAATCATTCTTTTTCAAACATTTTTTTTAAATTGATGGTTTGTTTGACTTACCGACTTCTTCTTCCTGATAATTAAATGGTTGTTTGTGATCAAATTCTTTCTGATAACATTTTTCTAGTAGGTGTGTAACTTCATATTTGTACGTGCAATTATTGATATTTTAATGTACACAATTTTTTCAGTGGTTTCAGTTTTTGTTGTGCAGATTTCAAATAACATAAACTATTCAAGCATACACTATATTAACACAATCTATTCAAGCATACACAGCATTAACACAAACTATTCAAGCATACACAGCATTAACACAAACATACACAACACTATCACATAGAAAGTGTAGCAAGTATTTTCCAAAGCAGTCTTTATCAGAAATACATAATAGTACGTCAATTATAAATCAGAATACAGGGTAGTACTTTCGTAATCCATCAGGTTACTTTTGTAATAGGCTACAGGAGGGCTATGTTAAACATTCAAACAAGTGCCAATCCTATTTCAACAATTTTCCATCTCATCAATAGATGCACATTTTTCATCAATACCAAAGAGGACATTATTTCTTTATTAAAATCAACCTGTAGCATTACAAAAAATTTTGATGTAGACCAGTGTCTTGTCATCCTGAAGATTTAGATAATGAACTTGGTCCGTATATTTTCAGGAGAACTTTTCTCTCCCTTCTTCACTTATATAAATCTAACAAGACAAAATATTTATTTAATATTTTATGAAACTCAATTTGAGATTTTCAGTGATTGAAAGATTAAAATAAATTTTATGGTTTAAAATTTAAATTGATTTTTTGTTACTTAGGATATTTTGAAGATTTCCTTAAGCTAAATACAACTAATATTTGGTCTTTTAGAAACGTATTAAAATTCTTGCCCTTATGAAAATAAAGTGTTGAATATCATGGGAGGTAACATTTCATCTTTTAACTCATAACTTGAACTAACTAGTAATAGCCAACTAACACTTCCACTACCATGTGACTTGATCAGTTCCTATGTGTTGTCAAATTGTTAGCGTTATATTTTCAAATCTCTTTATGTGCTGTACAAATATGCGTAACTATGCTTTGTTATTAATAATACAATAAAATGAGTCAAAAAAAAAACAACACATCATTGTTTGTTGTGTATTTAATTTGAATTTTGTGCAAGTTTTCTTGGTTCAATAGAAATCAACTAAGAAATGTGCCTTATTTTCTGCAATCAAAAACCAACCCTGGATCTGAATGGTGCCAAGGCAGAGACCTATTAATGATTACCATATGACTAGAAAGACGTGTTGAGCCTGGTTAAAGTAAGTTATTCCTGTTGTGTGCATTTGTTATGTTGGCTCAGAGACACATCAAACAATAACTTGGCTAAAAGTTCGGGCCCATTGATGATCTGTCCTCACAAGATTAAACCGGTACAATAAATTCACATGTCTAAATGTGCAGATCTCATCTAGTTGAGAATTATGTTTGCTGCTGGCATTCAAGATAAATAAAAATCAACTTGAAGACATACACCAAATATCAGCCCAAGAGTCTGAAATTCATATTGATATCAACTTAATTTTTGCATTAAAAAAAACAGGACCATGGTACATTATCTCATGTTTTAACAAGCTTTTTTTTTTTTGTAGGAATAGTAATATTAAAATACATATACATTATTAATAAAATTAAATGGATGTGTTTAATCAGTTGTATTAGATAAAGTTAAATTTATTTTATGCATCTGTGAAATTCTAAATCATCCATGCCTGTGGCATTACAGCCCATGAAGTGCTTTGGCCTGCCTCACCACTTCCTTCCACTCAGACCATCCATCCATCACTGTGGCACTACAGCCCATGTAGGGCTTTGTTCAGCCTCACTACTTCTTTCCAGGTAGATCTAACTAATGCTTTTCTTTTCCATGCTTGGATTCCCAGCTGCTATAGATCTTTTTCCACTTCATCCATCTATCTAATCCTAGGTCTGCCTTTAAGCTGTTTTCCTCTGGGGTTTTGGTACCCTCTTCACTCCTCTGTCATTTGGCATTCTTTCATACGTGTCCTGCCCTTTTTAATTTCTGCTACTAGCATGGAACCTGGTTGGTTCATATTCTCCATCCATATTCATCATTTTTTGGTCCATATATTTTCCGGAGAACTTTTCTCTCCCTTGTGTAGGTTTAATAATAAGTTTTCTGTCATTTTTGTTAGGGTTCAAGTTTTACTTGTGTACCGGTATGTAATAACTGGTCTGATTACAGTTTAATAAATAGTTTTCTTTGTTTCTTTTCTTGTAATGTTTTTACTTCTGAGTATTTTCTGTCTACTAAAGTATGCCCTGATATTCTTTCATTTATATTATTTGTTCATTTAGTAATTCCTTTCTTTCATTTAATAAAGATCCTAGGTATTTGATTTACTTTTTCAAAAGTCTGGTTTTTAATTTTAATGGCTTCATCTGTCTGTTCTTCTCTTATCAGTCATGTAAGTGAAATTCTAAAGTGAATCTTAAATTAGAATCCTAAAAGATTAAACATTTTTATCTATAATGGATAAATGATAATTAACAAATTTTGATTATGGGGGTAAAAAAATAATACTTTTAGGGGTAAATAAGGCCTAGGACCATAAATACAGATACCAGCTACATATACATAAAATGTGAAACAAAAGTATTTCATATAAGCAAGATTGATAATTAAAGTTAAGTATTTGGCGAAAATATATTTAATTTCTTTAAAAGAAATATTTGCAAGACCATATCTCAAATGAGCAAGCTGACTACACAATGTCCACCCATTTGCCATCATGACCAAGTCTGGTCTTGTATCGTACACAATAAAACCATTTCTAAAAAGATATCTGAATATAGTGTGAAGTCTAAATTTCTTTAAAAGAAATATTTGCAAGACCATATGTCAAATGAGCAGGCTGACTACACAATGTCCACTCATTTGCCATCATGACCAAGTCTGGTCTTGTATCGTACACAATAAAACCATTTCTAAAAAGATATCTGAATATAGTGTGAAGTCTAAAACTAAATACAAGCCTGCTAATTAAATCTCAAATTTAAATGAACAACAGAAATGATTGTAAGCTTGTTTTATTACAGAATTTAATGTTTGAATACATCAAATAATTTCTAGAGAAAACTTCTACTAGTCATCCAGCATTATTTTTATGTCTTTATGGGAATTATGGAGATGGTGTGTTTGAAAAATAACTTCTACTGTTTTTTTACTAGTTTTAAATTGATAATATAATCAGAATGGATTTATGTACATGGTACCATCTGTTTTCATATAATATTCTGTAATTAAATAAGTAAATTGTACTGTAATTAAAAGAAATGCATTTTTATTTGTTGGGATAACTAACAGTCTTATTGCACCTTTATAAAAACAATTAGATCTAAGGTAATAGAGCAAAGAGCCCCATTAAACTGTCACTAGTGACTTGCTATGTTGCTTTGATGTTCCTTTCTTTGTTAGCCCTCTAGTCTTTATAGTAAGAAATGTCCAGCCAAGCATACTATAAGATTATTAGTGTTGATAGTCTTCACTATTTGACTCTTCTTGTGACATAACACATCTACCCATGTCATGTAGAGTAAAATCAGCATTAATAGAAATAAAAGTTTATAACTGGTAAAAAATTTTTTTTTAATTTAATAGAATACACACAGATTTACCATCCACCCTTCCAATTAAAAAGTAATTTAAAAAAAGCTTTTAATTTTAGTAAGAAAATACCTTTTTTTCCAACATAATATCAATGCAAAGTTTATCTGCTTACTAACTGAATGCCATTCAATAGCAATGCAAAGTTTATCTGCTTACTAACTGAATGCCATTCAATAGCAATGCAAAGTTTATCTGCTTACTAACTGAATGCCATTCAATAGCAATACAAAGTTTATCTGCTTACTAACTGAATGCCATTCAATAGCAATGCAAAGTTTATCAGCTTACTAACTGAATGCCATTCAATAGCAATGCAAAGTTTATCTGCTTACAAACTGAATGCCATTCAACAGCAATGCAAAGTTTATCTGCTTACTAACTGAATGCCATTCAATAGCAATGCAAAGTTTATCTGCTTACAAACTGAATGCCATTCAACAGCAATGCAAAGTTTATCTGCTTACTAACTGAATGCCATTCAATAGCAATGCAAAGTTTATCAGCTTACTAACTGAATGCCATTCAATGCAAGAAATATTCGGTTAAAAAATCACAAATAAATAAAAATAAAGGTATTTTTTTCAAATGCCAAACCTAGCTTAAAGCCCTTTGAGTAACATAAAACAAAAGAGTCCTTCAAACGGACTCAAGTAAACAAAACAAAGAAGATATATTTCATTTAATCATCAGACAAAGGACACCTTGACATTTCACACAAGGAAATCCCCAAAACACAAATGTATACCAATGCGCAGCACAGCATCACAGCATCGATTTTCTGCAACATCAGCCATACCACTAGCCTGTCTTTTAAGAAAACAAATCAATCCTTTGATTAGGATGCACTGCTGATGACTACTGCAGTGTGCATAGTAGCTGCACTGTACCATAAAGCACCATATGTGCATAAGGTAAGAACCCAACTCTAATCACTTCAGAAAATTGATGCCCTGCTATAGACAGTATAACTCATACACCTTTTATGCCCAAACCTTATCATTGTACATCTCATATATATATATTATGTATTATAAAGAATCATTCAAATATATTAAAATGTATTTTTCTAGATGTTCACAAATATGTGTGCACACAGGCTATTTACAATCTGCACTTCTCTCATGGCTGAAGCATTACTCACAAGGTCGAAGAAATATTTCATGAGAAATGCATCAGTAAAATTTAAAAAAACTTTTGAAGATACGTAACACACACGTCATCACAGTTATTTAAGATCAGCGCGATTTCTTCCCTACAAAGTAAGGATTGGAAAAATATAGAAATTCATTTGTTCCCAAATATGTCATAATTCCCCGGCTCTTATAAAATCAAATAATCACTCTTATTATAATAAAGTTAATATTGTCATTAAGAAAGTGAGATTTTTATAATACAATACAAGTGGCTGACTTTAAAATTGTTACATTTTTTTCAGAATGTTTATCGGTAGGCTGAAAATGAATATGTACAATGCAATCCAAAGGCTTAAAATGTGTTCACAATGAATTCATACCATTTTATAAATGCTGCTTTTAATTCATTTTTTTAGTGCAGATCTCAAGGACAAATTTAAAAAATAGAATTCTTGAGTAACATTTGCCCAGGACTATGGCATAGTTTAGATCTATTTAATGGAATAATAGAGTGCACAAACTGAGGTCAAAGTCAGTATACCCATTACTAAGTCAAGAAAGAAAAAGCTGAAAGCATCATACTTAGTCGGGAAAACCTTGCACTTTTAATTTACACACCCTGACTTCCGTTTTACACACCCAGACTTCTGTTTTACACACCCAGGCTTTCACAAACTATAACATTTACTAGGCTAACACACACCAGCCAGAATAATCCACATTACATTTTTTACTGCATTACATTTTAGATTCCTAAACATTCTGCCGAAGTCACAAGCTGTTCGTTAAGCTGTAGCGCCAACTTTTCTCATTAAGTCGCCCGAGATCCCTGAGACGACTTGACCGGGAATAAAGGAAGAGCACTCCGACGAGGAAACAAACAGCAGATAAAACATAGTAGCCTTCAACGGTTGTTATGCATGAGCCTTCTGTTAACTTACAGGCCTGGTGATTAAAGGCAATACATTGTTAAACTTTATGACATTCCTAATATTGGCTCAATAAGCATCAATTTATTTTACTTAATATTTTACTTTCAAATTCAACCAATAGACCATTACTTTAAAATAAAAATTATTGATCATAAAGCCGTATAAAAGAATGACAAAATAAATACCCTCATCCAGCTAACAGTTGCCCAGTAAATATATCCCCCTTACCTTGTGCTAAATATTCCCCAGTAAACATACCTTCTCCATTTCTTTGTTATCACAGTTTCCCCCAGAAGTGCAGCTTTTCCATGTGACGTGGTCAACAACCCATAGTGTCAATGTGCTGGGCCAGTTGCCACCTGTAGGCCAACATAGATCAGACATTTCAATTTGATTAGAACATTCATTAATGATGGCCAACATAGAGCACACATTGATAAGAACATTCATTAATGATGGCCAACATAGAGCACACATTGATAAGAACATTCATTAATGATGGTCAACATAGAGCACACATTGATAAGAACATTCATTAATGATGGCCAACATAGAGCACAAATTGATAAGAACATTCATTAATGGTTGCCAACATAGAGCACACATTGATAAGAACATTCATTAATGATGGTCAACATAGAGCACACATTGATAAGAACATTCATTAATGGTTGCCAACATAGAGCACACATTGATAGGAACATTCATTAATGGTTGCCAACATAGAGCACACATTGATAAGAACATTCATTAATGATGGCCACACTAACACAAATGACACACAATGTGACAGAAATCAACGTCAACATTGGATGTTTAAACGCGACACAACTATTGATCCATTTGATCTTTCCCCACATTTTCCAAGGCTTTCATCTTCTGATGACAGACTTATTAGATCAATGGAATATAAAACCTATGACAAAATATCAGGGACACAGTGTTATTTGAACATGTCTAGAAATGATCATTTGTGGGTGATAAAAATAAAGAAATTTATATTAACTTTTTGTATGGGGAGGGAAATTAAAAGAAGAAGAGAATGGCAGGAAGAAGGGAATAGTAAGAAGGCAACTGTAAGGAGAAGGGAATAGTAAGAAGGCAACTGTAAGGAGAAGGGAATAGTAAGAAGGCAACTGTAAGGAGAAGGGAATAGTAAGAAGGCAACTGTAAGGAGAAGGGAATAGTAAGAAGGCAACTGTAAGGAGAAGGGAATAGTAAGAAGGCAACTGTAAGGAGAAGGGAATAGTAAGAAGGCAACTGTAAGGAGAAGGGAATAGTAAGAAGGCAACTGTAAGGAGAAGGGAATAGTAAGAAGGCAACTGTAAGGAGAAGGGAATAGTAAGAAGGCAACTGTAAGGAGAAGGGAATAGTAAGAAGGCAACTGTAAGGAGAAGGGAACAGTAAGAAGGCAACTGTAAGGAGAAGTTATTTATTAGGGATGTAGATACATCTTGTCCAGCCACCATACCTAAATTAGCAACTGTGTTGAGTAAGGTCATGTATGTACCACCAATAACTGGATCACTGATTTTAGCATGGAAGGCCATTTGAGCTACAAACATACAGTAAACAGCAACCTGAAATAGAATTGAAAGTCAATGAGATTAAATGACTTAAATTGTTAGGGTCAGTACATATAGGGCCTGTGTTGGGATCAGTACATATAGGGCCTGTGTTAGGATCAGTACATATAGGGCCTGTGTTGGGATCAGTACATATAGGGCCTGTGTTGGGATCAGTACATATAGGGCCTGTGTTAGGATCAGTTCATATAGTGCTTAACTATAAGTAATAAAACTTAAAGAATATCTGAATAAAAGATGCCTTCCTATGAAATCAAGTTTCATCAAGAATTTAAAAAACATGAAGTTATTAAAGGACATATTAATTTCTGAAGATTTTATTCATAAATCTTTTAATTGTAGAAAAAATGTCTTCATCAGCTGCAGTAGCTCAAATGGTTGAAATAATAATTACAAATAATGAATGAAAAAATTTACAAAGAAATTATCTTATGCTGGTTCCAAGACCCATTGAATGGACGTGGTATAAGTTCATTGGATGGACACTGCTGTTGTTGTTCGTCAGTCGGGAGTCGACCATGACCACTTGCAGCATCAGAGTTATTGCTGGTTCTGTCTGTGGGTGCGCAAAGGGCTAATGAGACCGATTCTGGCACGAAATTCTCTTGTGCAGTAGGTGCAGGGGAATGATGGCGCATCTCCGGGAGCAGAGTCAGACCGGGCCTTCCTGGCATGTCTCTTGCGCTCTGCAGCCGCTTTTCTGCCAACTTGATGTTGCATGGAGCTCCTGTGTAAAGTGGAACGCCATGAAATTCAATCCTTGCGATTTTCTCCCACGTGCCTGTGTTTATGTCCAAAGCTTTCAGTGAGGCTTTTAGGTTGTCTTTAAAGTGTTTTTTCAGCCCGCCAGCAGACCGCTTTCCTTGTTTGAGCTCACCATAGAAAATTCTTTTGAGCAGACGGTCGTCTGACATTCTCACATCATGTCCCGTCCAGCTAAGCTGATACTTCATTAAGATGGTGAAGATGCTGGGGAGACCTGCCCATGTGAGCACCTCAGTGTCTGGGACCCTGTCCTGCCATTTAATCTTGAGGATTTTTCTGAGCCCTGTTGTATGAAAGTGGTTCAGCATTCTTGCATGGCGTTGGTAGACCGTCCACATTTCACCGGCATGGAGAAGCGTAGGGAGCACAGCCGCCTGATAAACCTTTAGTTTAGTTTCAGTGTTGATACCTCTCCTGGTCCATATGTTCTTAGTCAATCTTCCATAGGTTGCACCGGCTCTTGCAATACGGAGGTTAACCTCGTCATCGATGGTTGTGCTTTGGGCATAAGTTCATTGGACACAGCATAAGTTCATTGGATGGACATGGCATTAGTTCATGGAACAAAGCACAAGTTCATTGGATGGACATGGCATTAGTTAATGGGACACAGCACAAGTTCATTGGATGGACATGGCATTAGTTAATGGGACACAGCACAAGTTCATTGGACACAGCATAAGTTCATTGGACACAGCACAAGTTCTTTGACACAGCATAAGTTCATTGGAGTTCATATTTCCAATTCTTATAATTTATCTGAAACAGACCATGTGACAAAGAACATACTCGCAACGTAAGTGCAGACTTGCCTGATGTAGGCCATAGAATCCCAATGTCACCACATAAAAATACCAAGGGAATTCTCCGGGCGAAGTCTGTACAGATGCAGCCCAGTAAACAACAATACAGTAAAGTACACCTATCAACATTCTGAAGATGAAAACGCAGTTAGATAAATACTACAAACTGGAGGGGGGCATTTATCATTTTTTTTATTTAAATGACTTGGGCAACACTTAAGGCTTTCTCAAACCACTTTACTATTGCTGTCATAGTGATAAGGCTTTCTCAAACCACTTTACCATTGCTGTCATAGTGATAAGGCTTTCTCAAACCCCTTTACTATTGCTGTCATAGTGATAAGGCTTTCTCAAACCACTTTACGATTGCTGTCATAGTGATAAGGCTTTCTCACTATACCTAATGGGTATACTTTCATACAGTTTTACCTAATGGGTATACTTTCATATGGTTTTACCTAATGGGTATACTTTCATACTGTTTTACCTAATGGGTATACTTTCATACGGTTTTACCTAATGGGTATACTTTCATACTGTTTTACCTAATGGGTATACTTTCATACGGTTTTACCTAATGGGTATACTTTCATACTGTTTTACCTAATGGGTATACTTTCATACTGTTTTACCTAATGGGTATACTTTCATACTGTTTTACCTAATGGGTATACTTTCATACTGTTTTACCTAATGGGTATACTCTCAAACCACTTTACGATTGCTGTCATAGTGATAAGGCTTTCTCACTATACCTAATGGGTATACTTTCATACAGTTTTACCTAATGGCTATACTTTCATACGGTTTTACCTAATGGGTATACTTTCATACTGTTTTACCTAATGGGTATACTTTCATACGGTTTTACCTAATGGGTATACTTTCATACTGTTTTACCTAATGGGTATACTTTCATACTGTTTACCTAATGGGTATACTTTCATACTGTTTACCTAATGGGTATACTTTCATACTGTTTTACCTAATGGGTATACTTTCATACTGTTTTACCTAATGGGTATACTTTCATACTGTTTACCTAATGGGTATACTTTCATACTGTTTTACCTAATGGGTATACTTTCATACTGTTTACCTAATGGGTATACTTTCATACTGTTTAACCTAATGGGTATACTTTCATACTGTTTTACCTAATGGGTATACTTTCATACTGTTTTACCTAATGGGTATACTTTCATACTGTTTTACCTAATGGGTATACTTTCATACTGTTTTACCAAATGGGTATACTTTCATACTGTTTTACCAAATGGGTATACTTTCATACTGTTTACCTAATGGGTATACTTTCATACTGTTTTACCTAATGGGTATACTTTCATACTGTTTTACCAAATGGGTATACTTTCATACTGTTTACCTAATGGGTATACTTTCATACTGTTTACCTAATGGGTATACTTTCATACTGTTTTACCAAATGGGTATACTTTCATACTGTTTTACCAAATGGGTATACTTTCATACTGTTTACCTAATGGGTATACTTTCATACTGTTTACCTAATGGGTATACTTTCATACTGTTTTACCTAATGGGTATACTTTCATACTGTTTACCTAATGGGTATACTTTCATACTGTTTTACCAAATGGGTATACTTTCATACTGTTTTACCTAATGGGTATACTTTCATACGGTTTTACCTAATGGGTATACTTTCATACTGTTTTACCTAATGGGTATACTTTCATACTGTTTTACCTAATGAGATTTACTTTATTTTACCTGAAAGGATATGCTTTCAACCATATCTCCAAAGGCTTCGGACCAGATGTGTATTTGCTAATGAGCAAGGGGAGGGCAATCTGAATGGGCACCATAGGAACAGCAAACAAGGCTAATTTCTCTTTGAGCATCCCAGCCTCCATAAGTTTCAGACCAGTCAGAGCATCGGCAGCAGCAAAAGCAACCTTAGTTAGAATGAATTTATTTCAGAAGATATGATGGGGTCAAGGAAAGGTATACAGTAACAAAAAATGGACTCACCGACAATTTCTAGGTCAAGGATATGATGTTCAAGGACATTTTCTACAGCCCTGGTTCTCAACCCATTAGTTGTGACCCCATGATGGGGTTTTTGTGAGGTCACAGAAAAACAGTAAACGCTCTGTCTTAAAGTTTGAATAATTTATAATAATTATTAATACAGCATCTATTTGTGATACTTCTCTCTTACCATATTATAAATATAATCCAGCATCTATTTGTGATACTTTTCTCTAACCATATTATAATTCAGCATCTATTTGTGATACTTTTCTCTCCCCATATTATAATTACAAAACAGCATCTATTTTTCATACTTTTCTCTGACCACCATCTTTTAATACAGCATCTAATCGTAATACTTTTCTCTTAGCAAATTATAATGTTTTGAACTAATTGGGGTTGCCAATCTTTTCATTTTTTTTTTAAATGGACTTGTGTAATATGGGTTAGGTCAGGCTTTTTAGCAGCCTCCCCCTGATTGTGGTCAGCGGACCGGCACCACATCGCGAGCCTTATGTTGCTGGTCCCCACAGCATGAATATTTATTGTCAAATAAATTGAAAATATCTTTTATAAATCTGATGTTGGTCACGGGTGCAATTTCAAAGCTGGTCCACCATTCCAGTATTTGGCCATACCTTGGAGGTTAGTAGTATAATGGTGTACGAAATGACAGGCTTTAGACAGATGACTTTGACCAGACTCTTATATGTCTCTACAATCCCCTGGTCCGGGTCAGCATCTAAGTCCATGTGTTCTTTCTTGAAGATCCCCACCAGGGTAGTAGTCACAAAAAATGCAAACCCCCAGAACCACAGGAAACCTGAAACAGCAATGAGAAATAGCTGAAACATTAGCAATGAGGAATAGCTGAAACATTAGCAATGAGGAATAGCTGAAACATTAGCACTGAGGAATAGCTGAAACAGTAGCAATGAGGAATAGCTGAAACATTAGCACTGAGGAATAGCTGAAACATTAGCAATGAGGAATAGCTGAAACATTAGCAATGAGGAATAGCTGAAACATTAGCAATGAGGAATAGCTGAAACATTAGCAATGAGGAATAGCTGAAACATAGTTTCTGACAAAATCCTGACTGACATTTGAGACCAGGTCAAAGTGGCAGTTTTTTAACCCATGTAAATAGTTTTCTATATAAATAGTCAATTTATAAAGATGGTACATTAAATTGTAAAAATCAGTTTATATTATACAAGAACTATCATATATCTGTCATTTTGATGATGCCTAGTAAGGGTTCTTGACCTGTGCTCCATGGACCCCTACTTGGCCTCACATTAAAGTGCAAAACCTATCACACCCCAGCTTCATAACCACTGTCTTTTGCAGGAGTTTTTAACCTGAGGTCTAAGGCTCCCATTGAGGGTCTGTGAAAAGGTGCCAGGTGATTGATTGGGTAAAATAAAACTTTTAATGAAGCTTAACTCATTCCCTCCGGCAGTGCTACTTCCGGACTTAATTTATTTTCCTGAGAAAAGGGAAGCAACTCAGTTTTGAAATTGATTTACATTTTTAAAATATTTTTTAAGTTGCTAAATATTATTTAATGTTAATAAATTAAGAACAAATCCAACAAAAAAACGAATAAGGTTTAATATAAATATAACATTAGCGGGGAAAAAGTAACGAACAATGGCCAAAAAATCGATTTTCAGCACCTCGGATGAACACATGCTACATATAGATGCGTCATGCTCAAGCACACGTAGTTTTAAAGTGAAACAAGATAAAAACTTCCGGTTTCTAAATTAAAATCACGCAGAAATCACGCCATAGCCGGAAGTCTCGAGGGACGCAAGATTTCATTGCTATTTTTAACTAAAAATAAGAGAGGTGTGTCGCTATGCACTGGGACGCATTTGGACGCATCAGGAGGAACCCCCAGAGGATGCATTTAGTCGCAACCGTCGGGAATGAGTTAAGAGAGTTAGTACCCCCAAAGACTGTGGTTTACTGACAGAGTTAGTATCCCCTCAGACTGTAGTTTCCTGACAGAGTTAGTACCCCCTTAAACTGTAGTTACCTGACAGAGTTAGTACCCCCTCAGAAAGTGGTTACCTGACATACTTAGTACCCCTCAGAGTGTAGTTACCTGACAGAGTTAGTACCCCCTCAGAAAGTAGTTACCTGATATACTTAGTACCCCTCAGAGTGTAGTTACCTGACAGAGTTAGTACCCCATAGTTAGTACCCCTCAGAGTGTAGTTACCTGACAGAGTTAATATCCCCTCAGATTGTGGAACACTCCTCAAGTATTTGTTACAAAAATCAGCTGACTCCAGGGACAGAAAGAGGACATTACCCAGAAAATATCCAGCCGTTTGTCCTACTGTGTTACATGTACTTGCCCAACCAATATTTGACCTAAAACAGATCATAAAATTCTTAGTTAAAAATAAAATGCCACTAGATAATCATTGATAAAGTTGTTTCAATACAAAACCATATTTAACTGCATAAATTCTTACCTGGACAACATGGTCAATGCCCAGCCATCTACAGCAATGTCCTGTGTGGCTGCCAGGAAGTTAAGGAAAACAAAGATCAGAGTAAGTCCCAAGATATTGACATCTTTCATCTCAGGATCATCTCCCAGCAGATACTTGGCTTGGGTGGACAGAATCAGCATGAATAGACCTGTAGTCACCAGATGATACAAACGGCATTTAAAAAGTATAGAGTCAATTTACATCAAACATTTATTTATCCATTTTCAACATGAGGAAGGAGAAGAAGAGGAAAACAAAGAAAAAGATGGGAAGACAACATCAAAAAGTGGACGGGACTGAAACTAGGCGATGCTGTGAGACGTGCAGAAGACAGAGACGAATGGAGGAGGATAGTTCACATGTCATCTGTGGCGCCCCAACGGTCTAAAGACCAAGGGGCATGATGATGGTGAACATGATTTTTATGGAGGTTGGACAGTTAAACATGGACTGTACAGCAAGTTCTAACACAGATCAGAGAACAGGACAAGAAATACAGCTTCTCATGAGTATGAATAAGATCATGAACACCATTGCTCCACAGCCTTGCTAGTCTATCATCATCCATTCATTTCAAGAAAAGATACAAATGAAACTTCCTGTAAACATTGAAAAAGTACAAACCCATTAGTTATTGTGATCTACTAGGAAATATTGAAAAGGTACAAACCAATGAGGTATTATAATCTACTAATAAAATATTGAAAAGGTACAAACTCATAAGGTATTGAAATCTAGTAATAAATATTGAAAAGGTACAAACTTACAAGGAATTGAAATCTACTAATAAATATTGAAAAGGTACAGACCCATGAGGTATTGTATAGGGATGAGCCATGTTTTCCTACGGCCAAACCACTGAACATAAATAGAGTCTACCAGAGGAGCCCACAACAGTTTTACACTGAATGGCCAGTAGACTAAACTGAACAAAGCTTGATCTGTGTAGCTGACCTGCAAATGATCATGAAGAACTCGTATCATAAGTAAACTTATCAGACATCTATTGTATATTGAAGGTTATTAAAAAAAGAAAAAGGCCATGACTATATAATTTATCATAAATAAAAAGGTAAATTCAGGAAGAATAATCGTTGGGGTTAGAGTGGGAGAAGGAAGCCGTGGAATGGTCATGCTAGGAATAGTAAGAATTATTTACACCCCAATGTCCAAATGATTCACCATCACCGGACTGTGTTGTTTCAGATTGTATATGTTTCCAGACAGATTCATTCCTATACACGCTGCAAGTAATTTTAACAAGCATCAACTTCCTAAGGAAAACAAACGCTTTGGCTGAATAAAAGATTTATCCTTTGGTGCTCAAGCTTCTTACCTTTCTACTTTGCAGCAACATGGGTATGCTGCCAGACAGGCCAAGAGGAATACCCTGTAATATGTACAAGAACATAAGCAACATAATACTGTTTAAGTCACTGCCAATGGTCCTGCCTTTATCAGAAGTTACTTCAGGACTTGATAACGTTGGAATGTGAGGAAACAGGGTTGATGATTCCAAGTCTGAGTATTCCACAGACTCCATGGGACGTCCTCGCTTGCGAGTCCTGCAACAAAATATTACAATCAAATTGTTTTTAAAAAACATGAAAGTTCTACAAATTTTAAGTTGGGGTTCCAATTCTAATAAAAAAATTAAAAACTTAAAATAAAATAGCATTTAAGATGATGAAACCACTAAATTAATCAATTTTCTTTGAACCATCATCCTTAAACCTTGTTAGTAGTGTTATTCATCTCCATCTAAATCACATACAGTGTTAGTCATCTCAGAATATGTTATATTCTTGCTAACATTTAACATTTCATTTATTGATTATTGTTTACAACAAAATAAAAATATAAATATGTATAGATATCATTATACGCCTAGCCATATTTTTTCATTTTTATTTAAAAATAAAGAAAATCATTTAAGATAATATAATGATAAGTACTTTGATTTACATTTAAATATTGTCTGATTGCAATAAAGATACATCATTTAAAGGGGCTGGCTATAAGCCTTACACAAAAATCACATTTATCTTTCTAGCTTTTTGAAATGATTATATGATTCTTTTGTGAATTCTAAAGCCCCTTATTTATCTTTGTATTCAATTGTGAAAACTTGTGACCAACGTTCCACATTTCTGCCCTATTTTGAAAACAACATTTTATTTTAAAAGATAATGCTACCACATTTTTCTGAGACTCTCTTCTCTCAATGCAGCATAAAAAACAATGAACAACTAAACTTTTACATAACATCCAGACTTTTTGTTTATTTTAAATTTTTTTTTTTCAGGACAGTTAAAAAATCCTGAAAAGAATAATTGGAAAATGATCATTTACAGGGGCAGAGGCACAAATAATTTGTTTTACTAGTTTTAGGGATTTTAATTAAAAATACTTCAGTTAAATTTAAATCAATGCTTATAGTTATAAAAGGTAAGTAGAAGTCTTTAAAAAAAATTGACTTAAACAAGTAATGAAATGTTATAATTAAATACACTAAAACTAATAGGAGGATAGAATAGTGTTGGCCTAGTCATAGCAGGTGGAAGCAAGTTTAAATTAAAATTTTTATAGTATTGTTTTCTGTATTGCATTTTAAAGTTTACCTGAAATATTTAGACAAAATATTTAAGAGTATTAAAACTCTTATATTGATTGCTATCAAGAGCCAATTCTGTTCCCAGTGAAGATACAAAAAAATGGCAAAATTTACTTTTTTTCATCTGGTTAAAAGGGCTCAAGTTCAAGGGAAAGGAGTAAATGGACTAATTTAAAGTTATTTATTGCCAATGAAATATAGATAATAAACAGCATTTTTAGGTTTACAGAATGTTAAATTGATCAAAATTACTATTTAAGACATTTTTATAGCTTACAAAATAGTGAAAGTGACACAGGAAAAGAACAGATGCGCACTTGAATAAATTGTATGTGCATTACCGGAAGACAATTATTTAATGAATTCGATGACAAAATTAATTTATTATTAGAAAACTGTGAAGTAAAATGCACAAATCTGACGCCAAAGCACACCCATTGTTAAATGGACACAAAAGTTTTTCCAACATTTTTCTATGTATGCAGAACAGGTATATGAACAAGTTTCGATATGAGATAACTTTACTGAATGAAAAATAAGTCAAATTATCAAAAGTATCATCAAATCAAGCCTTATAGCACTCAGACAACAGCATTTTGCAACAAAATATAATAACCTAGAAAGAACCCGCCAAACATTGGCGGCATGAACTTCCCATCTAGTAAAGTTACTTGACAAAACATTTAACTCAAGTAACGCACATTTAAGAATCCCAACATTTGCTACACCCCTTCCCCCATGATACGACACTCCACACTTTTTATTTCACGCCCATGAACTATATTGATATTATCATGTCCCAACCACTTTTAAACCAAATATTTTTCACACAATACTTAAATTGAGACAATTTCATTTCCCAAAAGAAAATATTACGCACCAAACGCAATTGCGTTATTAAAAAAATATATATATCATTTAGCGTAGTTATCGGGAATTATATTTTGTGGGCTAGTGAGCTCATTATTGAACCACACTCTGGCGTAACTATATATAGCCTGCGTGGTGGTGGTGGTGTTTAACCTTTGCTGGCGAATTATATATATAGTTAAATCTAGAACTGGTAATACCTAATAGCTTCCTGCTTGTTCTCCATATTAGCTGTTTCAGCAGACCCAGTCTCTTGTGCATAAAAAGTCTCCTTCAAAGGTTTAAGGAGCTCTTTAAAAAAGGGACTGCAAACACTAGTGATGAGAGACCAAGGTCTTGTCTTTAGAACAGGAAAAATGCTAAAAACAAAGCAAAAAATGTTCTATTAAATTAAGGAAGATACAGACAATGGAAAATAGTGTCTGAGGCAAAATCAAATGAAGTGTCTGCATGTCCGACATGCCAGACAAATAGTGTGGCAGATATATGTCCGGCATTGCATTTGATATTCCGATCCCTAGATAATAAATAAATGCTGAACATGTTAATATATTCAAATGCTCTGAGATACATAAAGTGTTTGACTTTGAATATTAAACTAGTCGGCCTATATACTAACTAGTAGTACTATTACTACTACAATTACTAGTCTATTTGATCCGACTCTTCAAAGAAAAAAGTCCCTTATCTTGGTTAATACATGTTGTAAAGCTCTACCTTGAAGCCTAAATTTAAAATATGAACCAAATAAATAAAATAAAATAAGACCAGTAGACTTCAATAGACCAATGTCAATAAAGTTGTATTTCAGGATTAGTATTTAGTATTGCATGAGAAGTAGGCTAGGCTACCACTATATCGGCCCTTTATTAAGTATTAAGAGAGGCTGGCACTACGTACACTGGGGCAGTGTACCTAGCGAAACTATTCACTTTGGCCTGCGTACACAGCGGCGGTGTACATAGCAAAATCATTGTCTGTAGCCTGCGTACACTGCAGTGATTTAAAGTCGCAAAACCATGGTCTTTTAGATTCTTTAACTTTTTGGCCTAACCGGTACTTGTAGATTTAATGTTATATTCTTGTTAAAACTGAAAACTATTTATTTAAAAATTCGTTTAGTACCTTGGGAAGATAATATTGTGTAATTTCCACGCTTATGCTTATGTGGCAAAGTACCTGTAGAGCATTTCTTATTATTTATTGGAAGGGAGGGGGCTGGGGGAGTAATGTTAAACCACGATTTATTTTTAAAGTTAACCACTTTACTTTATTTCCCCCAATATAATGAAATACAAATATATTTATTAATTGGAGTAAGTTTTAGCCTATGATTGTGAATCTTAATAGGCATAGCTAAGGGCAGCTAATTTGAAATTATTCTCCCCCCCAGTTGTTTTTTTTGGGGGGGAGGGGGTATTATAATTATAAAATTGTATGTGATCCTCGGGGCGTGGTTTAAAAAAATGAATGGGAAGCCAGTGTATCAATTTTGTTAGCACCAAGATATAATTAGGCCACAAATACATTACGGCAGTTACGGGAAGAGAATCACATACATTGATCATGAAGTAGTGAAGTTAAAGTTGTCCGAGGCATTGTCATTGTGATATCAAGCGATTGTCAACACAAAACAACAGTAGACAATATGATGATCAATACAAAACACTGCAGTGATTTTTAAAAATCTTTTAACAACAATTAAATATCACTGAATTAGTTTTACATTGGCATTACACATTAGTAAAAATTGTCGGGGGACATCAGCACCCACCCCCCTTTCCGGGTAAGTTTGTTGTGCGGACGTCCTTTGTGGACAACCTCTATCCAGAGTCGTGATTTGAGTAGGCCGGGAAAAACCAATTCGGAGACGGGTATTGTCATCCCACCCCCCCCGGCAAGGATCGATTTCTTAACATAAACAACCAATAAAAAACTTTGAAATAGCGAAAATCCTGTCCCATGCGCATGTCCATGAGAAAACGTCGTGTTTTACCCTGAGAATAGCACATGCCATGCCATGCCGCACATGCCATGCCATGCCATTCTGGAAACAAATTCCGTCATGAACAGGATAAATGCAGACCTATGACTTTGCTATACATTATACAGTTTGCTACCGCGCTGTAAGTTACTAAAATCGTTTTTTTTTCCAAAAGATTTGTTGTGAGCCTGAAGGTTGTGAATGAACCGTTGATATCGTGTGCACATTTTGCCAATGCATAGTGATTTTGCCAATGCATAGTGAAAGCAAGATGGTTGAAATACGACCATGCACATTAATATTCATATGATATTAAGTTAAGGGCAATGTAGGGTCTATTTCTTATTCTTTGTGAACTATCGGTCTCCCCGCCTTAAAATTTATTATTTATCACCCTAACTATTATTTTTGTACCATTCATATTTTTTATTACCGCAATTCTCTCGCCCTCTCAGCATTCCTTCCTTCTAGAATGCATTATTGCTTAATAGAGTACGGTAATACTACGGCTACCTGACCGGCATACGGACCGGCGTACCCGTTTCATGAGTTTAGGCCTTAACTTATTTATTTATTTAAGCTAGCACCACTTACATTTTTGTCATAAGAAAATTTGCAATAACTTAATAAAGAGGCTTTTTTATAAATAGGTCCTAGGTCTAATATATTATATTAACAAATTTGAAAACCATATTGAACGAATTAAATTCTAGTTAACGATTAACGTGTCAAAAAATATACGAAGTGGATGCGTACACCACGGCGGTGTACCTAGCGAAACCATCGGCTTTGGCCTGCGTAAACCGCGGCGGTGTACCTAGTGAAATCGTGGGCTTTGGCCTGGGTACACCGCGGCAAAAATTTACCATTGGCCTGGTTTTAAGATATACTTGTTGGAGAGGATCTTGTGTGGTCAAGTGGTAGAGTGGACGCTTGGTGATAATATAGTTTGAGATCAATTCTCAGTGGGAGATCGAGTTTTTTTCCTCCCATTTTAGTTTTAAAATATTTTGTAGCAATTGAAACAATTTAAATATATGTTTAAATATTATATTAAATACACTTTATATATTTATTTATATATATAAGTGTTTCAACAAGTTGTGCCAGCCTTTGACTTTGAAAATACCGGTAACTTTAGTAATAAGACTTTAGACATTTGAAAACAAACTTAAAGTTTCTGAAAGCGCATGTAATACATGATGATCATGTATAACAGAAACATTATGAATACTAAGTGACTGATATTCTATTGTATTTCAACATTCTTCGTATAGTTGAATATTTACATTTTACTTTTACGAACAACCAAAGAAAATACCAGTATGAATAATATTCATGCATATGAATATTAATGTGCATGGTCGTATTTCAACCTTGAACCATCTTGCTTTCACTATGCCTTATGCATTGGCAAAATGTACATACGATATCAAAGGTTCATTCACAACACTCAGTCTCACAGCAAATCTTTTGAAAACACCTCGATTTTAGAAACTTGCGGAGCGGTAGCAAACTGTATAGCAAAGCCATAGGTCTGCGTTTACCCTTTTCATGACGTAATTTGTTTCCAGAATGGCATGGCATGTGCTATTCTCAGGGTAAAACACGACGTTTTCTCACAGAAACCATTGCACAATGCGCCTGGGACAGGATTTGCACTATGTCAAAGTTTTTGTATTTGTTGTTGTTTTTTTTTTTAAAGAAATCGATCCTTGCCGGGGAGTGGGGGGTGGTGGTGAGTTATGGGCAGAGGCTTAACCAAAAAGAGGGCATTCACAAATCACGGCTCAGGATAGGGGTTGTCCACAAAGGACGTCCGCACAACAAACTTACCTTTTGCATCCTTTAACTTCACGACTTCATGATCAATGTATGAGTATGTGATTCTCTTCCCGTAGTGTATTTGTGGCGTAATTATATCATGGTGCTAACAAAATAGATTCACTGGCTTCCCATTCATTTTTACACCATGCCCCGAGGGATCACATACAATGTTATATTTATAAGGCACCCCCCCCCAAAAAAAAAAACAAACCCAAAACAAAACAACTAACAACTGGGTTGGGGGGGGGGATGAGAGAATAATTTCAAATTAAGATTCACAATCATATGATAAAACTTACAATTAATAAATATATTTGTATTTCAAGATATTGGGGGAGGGGGGAATAAAGTGGTTAACTTTAAAAATAAATCATGGTTTAACATTACACCCCCCCCAGCCCCTTCCCTTCCAAAAATAATAAGAAATGCTTTACATGCACTTTGCCACATACGCGTGGACCTTACTCAATATCTTCCCAACGTAATAAACGAATTTTTAATAGTTTTCAGTTTTAACACGAGTATAACATTAAATCTACAAGTACCGGTTAGGCCAAAAAGTTAAAGACTCGCAAAGACCATAGTTTGGCTACTGTAAATCGCTGCGGTGTACGCAGGCCACAGACCATGATTTAGCTAGGTACACCGCCGCGGTGTACGCAGGCCAAAGTCAATAGTTTCGCTAGGTACACCGCCGCGGTGTACGTAGTGCCGGCCAAAAATATAAGTGCTCTTCAGTAAGAGGACGACAAAAACAAACGAGCTCTATTATTCCGATTGTCGTGTCGTGTTTGTAGCAGTTGATGTTTTTGCTACTATTACCCCGGCGGTAAACCTAAAACTCAGGTTACCATCCACGCAATGCTGAAATTGCCTGAAATCAGGCTGGAACGATAAATATTTTTACCGCAGCAATTAATTAGTCCCCTATTCAAAATAGTTTTAAATATATAATAAAAGTTTGCTTACTTTGTACGACATATTAATTAATTTTAATTAATGCACACACACAAGAGACAAAAGTGATTTTTTATTAATAAGCGTAATTTGTTATAACCTTCCCTTAGATGCGTATGTACAATGAGTTTTTAATCTAACCCCAAAAGATAATTATGACGTCAGGGTTAAAAAATTCGGTAAGTGTTTTCACCACCGTTTGTCAAGTCCACTAATTCCCAAAATATGCACCGCGTCATCTTGGGGCACATGGTATTCATCCCGGGCGCCAACATCAGGGGGCTCAAAATGGTCTTAATAAAGTAACTAAAACTTAGTGTTGATTGAAAATAAAAAAATCCCATACGCACAAATCCACAAAACCCCAAATCCCTTTTTGTCAGTCCGTAGGTATTATATAGATGGCCCCATATTACTTAAATATATTTCTTAAAATGCATTTTAAATTCTGCGCGACTGTCTTCAGCACCCTCAATTTCTGCACCCCTTCCCTTACGTCCATGATCAATGTTACAGTATGGGGTTGATATACTGATTACACTGGGGCACGCCACAACTAAGGTGTAAATTCAGTTTATGTATGTCACTGACTCCATAATGCCTCCCCAGACCATAAAAAATGTCCTTCCCCTGATCAAAAAGTGAAATAGAAACATTGAATTCAACTATACCCCAAAGGGTACCTCTTGATTTTAAAATAATAAACAAAAATCTTGGGTAGAAGGCTCATACCTTGAAGGCTCCCCATAACATTGAATTCAACTAGACTCTATACCCCAAAATGCACCTCTTCATTTTTAAATAATAAACAAAAATCTTGGGGAGAAGGCTCCACATACCCCTCCACCGCCCAAGACTCACCTTACTTTCTTACCTTATGCATGGGGCGTCTACAAGCATTTTCAATTCATCTCGTTCCTGTGAGTTCCTTTCCAGTTGCTTCCGTGTGTATCCCATACTTAAAATGTCTGCCTCTAGTTCGCGTCTCTGTGTATTTTTAGGGCTTCCTTCACTTTATTTTTTCCTGTGGGTTTCATGTAAAGGATTGTCTAAAGTTATCAGAGGGTTTACGGAGAGTGTGCCCTATCCGCATCTGTCTTTTCCTTATGATGTCTTCAGCAATAGGCTCCTGGTATGTCCTATCTAAAAGTCTTTGTTGGTGATGGTTGACATTTGATGTTCAGGATCTTTCTAAGGCAAGTTTCTTTGAAGTTCTGTACTTTCTGCGTAATGCTCACCGTTGTTCTACAAGTTTTGGCTCCATAGACTAGGCCTGTTTTGACATTAGTGTTGAAAATTCTGACTTTGTTTTAAAGAGTCTGCTCCTGTTACTACCTTATTTTCTTTAATAACACAAATGTTAAGCTAGCCTTTCCCATTCTAACCCTGACATCCACTTCCTATCCACCATTTTAGTCAATGGTGCTGCTTAAGTATATGAAGGCCTCCACTTCTCCCAGTGTATTTCCTACCAGATAGATATTTTCTCGGTTGGCTGAGTTAACCTTTATGATCTTTGTCTTGTTTTATTTATATAAATAAACGCAAGATTAATCTGTGCCCTTGATTTATACCATACACCACGATGAAAATGATCGATAATTTTGGTGACGAGAGATACACTGCCTAGAGGTGTAGCTAATATTAGTGTCACCAGGGGGGACAAATAGGCTATTATGGCCGCTCTCCCTTTCACGATACAAACTGTGCAGTTGTTCGAAAATGCCACACCTCCTTATAAAGAAAAAGTGACACCTGGGTGAACAAACGCATCTTCCCCGTTTCTCAGCCCCTGGAAGGGGCTTAGCTAGAGTATTTGGCGTCAGGGGACATGATTCATTTTTGCCCCCCCCCCCTTTTTTTTTCAACTCTGTAACTAATTATTTTCAACCATTAACTACTATCAAAGCCCAATTTGGTGCCCCCGATAGGCTGGCGCCCCGGGGCGTAAGTCCCATCTACCAAACCATAGCTACGCCACTGCCCATTGGTTACTGGTACTGGCCCGCCCCCCCCCCAACCCCCGGGGGGGGGAGGGAATGTCTGAAAAAAAACACTGATTAATGGCTCGGCAACTTCTATAAATAAAAGGGTGGGGGACTTGATATTGGATTTACTTGTAATGACGTAATGTATAGAGGGTAGTAAAAATGTTAAAAGTCTTTCCCCACCCCTATAAAATAATAATAATATTATTAAAATAAACACCCTTCTATTTACGTAATACTAGGCCCAGACATACATTTTTTTTTTTTTTTTTACTTTGTTCCGTGCTTCGAGCCTTTGGGGATCAAGCGTGTTTTTTAAACCCCACCCCTATAAAATAATAATAATATTATTAAAATAAACACCCTTCTTTTTACGTAATACTAGGCCCAGACATACATTTTTTTTTTTTTTTTTTACTTTGTACCGTGCTTCGAGCCTTTGGGGATGAAGCGTGTTTTTCAAATAAACTTTATTATTATTATACACCCGAAAGTGCCACCCTGGTCAGTCGCCACCTTCGCACCCTCAGGTAAACCACCAAGGGAGGCGAAATGTTCCACTGCCTAGAGCGCTCTACATGTCTTAATTCAATAATGTTGTATCCGTTAGGGTTATCAAAGTCAATCAATGTAATGTTTCACCAGTTCACTGAACAGATCATTTTAAATATTTGACCAGTTTACAGAACAGATCATATTTAATATTTGACCAGTTTACAGAACAGATCATATTTAATATTTGACCAGTTTACAGAACAGATCATATTTAAGTAACAGAGCAAGCAGATTATGTGTTACTTTACTGACTTACAGAGCAGATTATGTGCAAAATTCGACCAGTTAACTAAATGTACAAGTGTTACGTCCTAAAGACATAACAGGGAATGACCAGAAACAAAAAGACAGAAGAATGTGTCAGGGAGTGTCCACAGTGTTGTGAAGCTGAAAAAATGAAGGTGAGCCCCACAAAACTACAAGGATATTTATTTATTTATTTAGGCATTTTTATATTAAAAATTTAAACATGATTGAAACAGATGATAAGGCAAGTCAAAGATAATGAGCAATATTGAGAAGCCAAACATACTGGGTAACAGTGACAGGCCAAACATACTGGGTAACATTGACAGGCCAAACATACTGGTTAACAATGACAGAACTTGACAAGTCAATCATATTGAGCAAAATTGACAGAAGTAGACAAGCCAAACATACTGGGTAACATTGACAGGCCAAACATACTAGGTAACATTGACAGGCCAAACATACTAGGTAACATTTACAGAACTTGACAAGTCAGACTTACTGGGTAGCATTGACAGACCTTGACAAAACAAGCACACTAAGAAACAATGACATAATTTTACAAGCATACTGAGAAAAAATAATAAGAACTCAATGTTAGCATGGTCTGTTTTAATGTTAAATTTCAAGTGACAAAAGTCGATAATTAAATGATAATTTCTACAGTACAATCAGTTCATGTTGTCATGTTAAACTCCTTTGTGTAAGATCCTATGATGGTTACAATAGTTTAATTTCTTTAAAAAATAACATATATCTGAGAAATAGAATAATAGAAGCTTTGGAACAATGGGAGCATTAAAACAAGGAATGTAAGTTGTTTGTTCATATTAAAACACTTGTAAAAGGAATAAATTTAAATGTAATTATTTTGTCAGTGGGAATGTAAAAATTGAAGAATAGTGATGTAAGTCATGGTCTACTAAAAATAATTAATTTACAATCTAGCACTGAACAAAATAGATTCATTTAGTAATATGACTTTAAAACCGGCTTTTTTTAATTCCAGATTTCTGCTATTTATACAGCTTTATAATTTTACAGCTTAACTATTTATCTGACGAGTTCTGCACTAAACACTTTCATGTACCTCTAATAAGAAACTATTATTCCCTAGTCTAACATGGTCGTTTGGCTTTTACAAGGTAACAACGATGGGACAGCTTGCAGATAAATTTGTCTATCAACAATAATAATATAGATTTTCTATATTTTTAAAATGGGAGCCCATCTCAACAGCTACGTAAAGAGTTCTAACAGATTAAATTCAACATAGAGATTCAAACAAATAAAAAGACAAACGCAACAAAATTAATTAATAAGTACACTAGCTCACCTTGCATTAGTTGCCCATAATGTGGGCACACCAAAAACTCATCAAACGATTCACACCCGACCAATATGCACCCACGGAAACATAACATAAAGTGATGTGCAACAGATCAGCATATCATCAGTGGTGTGGCTAGAGTTAGTGCTGAGTCAACAATTTTGTAACCTTCCCCAAAAAACTCTACTGTTTGCAGGAAATGTTGCCCCTACATATATAGAAAAAAGTGCTGCCCAGGGTGCCCCCATCCTCCTCTGCTCCACCCTTCCTATTGGCCAGAACACAGCATCAATTACCTAAAAATTATAATATATTTAGTATATTCCAATAAACTTAACATTTTGATAATGTTTTAATAGTTACAGGGCTGATGACAGGGCCATTATTAGGGAAAAGGAAGCTGGAAGTTTTCCTAGGATCCTGCAGGTTTTGGGGCACCATTTAAAAAAAATTTTTTTTCCCCTGATCCTAAAAATTTCTGTCAGTGAACCACAAATAGAAAGAAAAACTAGACTATTACACCGCAGATAGACAATTTATAAACTATTCATTATATTTTTTTCCTACCAAAACTTCTAAGTTCTTATGTTACTTCCATATTTTTATTGTTAGAAGAAAAATGCTTTGAGACAGTAGAATTATATCGAAAATAGAATTTGACTAAAATAAAGTGGATCTCATTCACTGAATATCAGATTAGAAATAGATATATAATTATTATATATCATCCATTAGTGGATTCTAAGTATATATCAAGCCTCTATCTGTTAGTGGATTATAAATGTATAGGCCTATCAACCATCTATCCATTAATGGCAATACATATCAACAATCTATCTTATAATGGATTATAAACTAAATGATTTTTGATGAAAAATTCAAGCAGATCAAATGCGAGTTTTGAGAAAATGTCAAAAAAACATGAGTAGAGACCCTTGTAAAAAGTGCTTTTATAATGTATAAAGTAAAACAGCTATTGTAATTAAAAGAATGAATATTAAGATAGAAATGAAGGCACAACCTGTGAAGCAGTAATATGGATTTACCCTGTTACAATAACAATTAGCTTGATAACTTTAAGTTTAATGATTTTTTAATACAGGAGCAAGCAAGCTCATTATTGTGTATTTGGTTAGCCTTCCATTGTCTAGGAGGCTAACTTTAGACCGATTGCATAGGTACCTTAAGGCTGTCTAACATGAGACCATTTGGCTTACTTTAGACAAATTGCATAGGTACCTTGAGGTTGTCTAACATGAGACTATCTGGCTTACTTTAGACCAATTGCATAGGTACCTTGAGGCTGTCTAGCATGAGGTTATCTGGCTTACTTTAAAAAAAGTTAGGTTTGGCAAAATTTCAAAATTGTACCAAGGACCAATTCCAGAAATATTATGTATAGGCCTATATTTTTTGTCCATAAATATTAATGTTGTGTGGCGCCTCACTTGGGGAACAGTGCTCTGGACAACTTATTTGGATTGGTAACTGTTTATTTGGGTAATTGTTTATTATACTATGCTGATGGAAAGTTGAGTTAAAAATGAACACAACCTGAGACGCACTCCATTGTTAAAAACTCTGGTATATAGCATTTTAATTTAAAATTTTAAAACTGTTGTAAATAATACAGAAATGAACACATGCAAGTAAAAACAGATAATAAAGACGTGTTACATCACATCCTATTATCGAACATGCAAAATTTGCCTGAGGGGCCCTTCCACCAAAAAAAACCAACAGAACAACAAAATGTAAAAAAAATTTTTTCAAAATGTATTGTCATATTCTGGCCCAAATTCTACCAAAGGAATGTTTATCTTACTTTTTTTTTTAGCAAATACATCATTTGTACATTTTGAGGAACTGTTGAGTTAAAAAAACAAAAACATTGATAGATTTGTCTTTATATTTTGGAGTATCATCATTTCATAACTTATTACTTTTTATAAGAGATTTTTTCTATTATTCAACTTCCCCTATCAAGAAGGTAGGCACACAATTGAGTAAAGAAAGATTTTACAATGAAATAATTTGAATAAATGGCTGTTAATGAGGTCTTATAATGACCAATGATCATTTGACCTACTTTACATGCCATTACCTATGCATAACCTCAAAATAAAATACCAAATTTGATTATCTTTTTCTCTGGATGTAAAGATAGTAATGAAACATAAAAAACAGTTTCCAACATTTTTTGATGTAAAGCAAAATAGAATTTTGATGATTGGTAATTATAAAATTAATTGAGTTGTTTAATATATAATTGATTCAGTTGCTTTACTTGCAAGCCTTTATAATTATGTGTCTCTTGGTTGGAAAAGTTCAAACATTTGATTGTGAGCAAAAGATCACAGATATTTTAAAGGACTAGTCCTTTTAGCACTATGACCCAAAAAAATAAATAATTTAAAAAAGTATCTTAACACCAACAATCATAATATGAATTATGACTGGTGATGCTGTTACACTTTTACTCATTCAAACACTGTCTTATTTTTGTAACAGGGAGAATTAAATTAACAGCCATGATAGCTGAACACATTTAAAATGTTTGATTTTCAATACTAGAAGACAAGTGCTGCAAATTAAAATAAAATAAATCTTTGTTTGGTCACATTAATTTTAGAATCACAATAGGGTTATAGAATATTTGTGCAGAAAATAAATGTAGAATTTTTTGAGTTATAATTTTTTTTAAATTTTGATTGCAAAGACTGAGTTGTATAGTAGTAATAGTTTCCTTCCATACTTCAAACAAGTAACTTATAAAACTCATAGATGAATTAATAGATGTTACAGAACATAAAAATTGACTTGAAGATGCTATGCTCTCGGCTTGGAGGTTGTAGGAGTAACATTTGTTGTCCTGAATAGACGGCGTACAGAATAAACCTGAAGTAAACAGATTAAATTTATTTATTTATTTATTTAGGCATTTTTATATAGCGCTTACCATAAAGCTCTAAGCGCTTTACAATTATTAAAAACATGTAAACTAAGTAAAATAAAAATGAGACACTAGGATAGTAACTACTATGCTATAGAAACAATGAAAATGGCTATACAACGAGGACACTTTGACACTTCAGGATCAACCCGAAACAGAAAATGAGGCAGGGCAAGGACGGTGCATCACAGCTCATAGGCGGACCTAAACAGATGAGTTTTAAGGGACTTTTTGAAAATGGACGAGGTTTCACAATGACGGATATGGAAGGGGAGCTGGTAAGTCATTTTTTTGCCACTGGTTATTTAAAATTCACTTTTAATATTTAAATAATCTTTTTTTTTTTTTTTGTGGGAAAAATCTACAAATCAATTAATCATACTAAGTAGAGAGTTTTTAGAAAAAGCAAAATATTCATTTCTTCTTGACCTTGGAGAATAAAAAATTGCTACTTAAAAATAATATAAAAGTTTACAACATAATGTGAGCTTTTATGAAAGGTTATTGACTCAGATTAAGAAATAATAATAATGTTAAAAATTTGGACTTAAATTTTTTAAACATCCCTAAAGACATTTTTACTTTGTTAAATTATTTCATGTCAGACCTGCCTACCTGTACTAAATTTTAGTATTTTAAACCTTTTTAAACCTTTTTACACCTTTAACATGAAAATATTATTTTAAAAATTACAATTTTATCCTCCCAAAATTGAGGAAATTGTGAAAAGTGAGTGCTTCATGAATTTATTGGAAGTTTTGCTCTCTCAATTTTTGTCTGTCTTTTTTTCTTTAATTACCCAGGACACTAAAGAAAAGTAAGTAAAATATAACAAATACCCCTATTTGTCCTTAAAGGTTTACTTACAATAATCCAAACTAAAACACTAAAGTTGACTAAAGAGAAGGCAATAAAACAGAACAAAAATACCATGATTAGCTTGGTCAGGCAGTCAAAGATTTGTTCAAAAGTGATTCCCAATTTACATCGGTCAGGCAATCAAAGATTTGTTCAAAAGTATTTCCAATTTACATCGGTCAGGAAATCAAAGATTTGTTCAAAAGTGATTCCCAAGTAACATTGATCAGACATCAAAGATTTGTTCAAAAGTGATTCCCAAGTAACATTGGTCAGACATCAAAGATTTGTTCAAAAGTGATTCCCAAGTAACATTGGTCAGGCAATCAAAGATTTGTTCAAAAGTGATTCCTAATTAACATTTCCTTTTGAGTTCTTTTTAATTTTATGAAATAAGGCAAATAAATAGTTTATTTATTTAACAGCCCAATTAAAAAATATTTTCCAACTAAAAGGAAAATACTTCCAACAATGGGACTTGATTGGCAGGTCTAGTTCTACCAACAACTTGATTGGCAGGTCTAGTTCTACCAGCAACTTGATTGGCAGGTCTAGTTCTACCAACAACTTGATTGGCAGGTCTAGTTCTACCAACAACTTGATTGGCAGGTCTAGTTCTACCAACAACTTGATTGGCAGGTCTAGTTCTACCAACAACTTGATTGGCAGGTCTAGTTCTACCAACAACTTGATTGGCAGGTCTAGTTCTACCAACAACTTGATTGGCAGGTCTAGTTCTACCAACAACTTGATTGGCAGGTCTGGTTATACCAAAAACCTTAACAATATTTAATGATGTGCAAGTAAGTTAGTACCATCAGTAATTAAGTACCATCAGTTAGGTAGTACCATCAGTTAGGTTGTACCATCAGTTAGGTAGTACCATCAGTAAGTTAGTACCATCAGTAAATTAGTACCATCAGTTAGGTAGTACCATCAGTTAGGTAGTACCATTAGTTAGGTAGTGCCATCAGTTGGGTAGTACAATAAGTAAGTTAGTACCATCAGTTAGGTAGTGCCATCAGTTAGGTAGTACAATAAGTAAGTTAGTACCATCAGTTAGGTAGTAGTACCATCAGTTAGGTAGTACCATCAGTTAGGTAGGCTCATGTGGCTGCACATGTTTAACAACTACAACAACTCACTGCAGTACTAACCTGTGTAACAGCTGCCACTACAATAAGTACACATTGTGCTATGGACCAAACTTTAATATAGCGGTTGTTTTCATTCGACAGGTACCAATCTTTCACCACATTAAATCTGGGAACAGAGGAAATACAAACTAGATTGTAAGGACAGCATCAAAGATGAGGACAGCATCAAATAAGAACAGCATCAAAGATAAGAACAGCATCAAAGATAAGAACAGCATCAAAGATAAGAACAGCATCAAAGATAAGGACAGCATCAAAGATAAGGACAGCATCACAGATAAGGACAGCATCAAAGATAAGGACAGCATCAAAGATAAGGACAGCATCAAAGATAAGGACAGCATCAAAGATAAGGACAGCATCAAAGATAAGGACAGCATCACAGATAAGGACAGCATCAAAGATAAGGACAGCATCAAAGATAAGGACAGCATCACAGATAAGGACAGCATCACAGATAAGGACAGCATCAAAGATAAGGACAGCATCAAAGATAAGGACAGGAGAAGATGACAAATTTATTACATTGCAGTTAAGTGTTCATGCTTCTATTGTTTTAATAATTGTTTGTTTGCTGAAGAAGGCTTCTTGCCGACACATTCACAGCTTTGGTGCATCCTTTTATCAGGTTTTCCAATACCCGTACTTTGTTTTGGTTATTTCCTTCTATGTAACCTTAGTCATCACTAACAAAATTAATTCTAATACTAATATGTTGGCATAGACTCTAGCTCAAGATAAAGGACCTCATCAAATGGAAGTAGCCTGGAAACACAATCATAAAATGGAAGTGGACTGGACACACAAACAAGAAATTGACATCGAAGTGGACTGGACATAATATCATGAAATAGACATCGCAGTGGACTGGACACAATATCATCGTTAAATTTTCAGGATAAATGACATTAAGAGAACCATGTTAGACAAAGCAAAATAGAGCGATTTTAGGGCAACTTCAGGGAAAAAAGGTGGGGGGGGGGGTCTCAAAAGTAAGTACATACATTTATTCATACAAAAAAATAATAATTCTGCAATAATTGTCCTAAAAATTCGAACTGTCCATAAATAGCCTATTTATATCTCCGATGCAATAAAAATATAAAATACTTGTTTGTAATATTGTCTTCATACCTTTGCTTAGTGTCATTCCATTGCTTAGTGTCATTCCATTGCTAAGTGTCATTCATTGCTTAGTGTCAATCCATTGCTTAGTATCATACTATTGCTTAGTGTCATTCCATTGCTTAGTGTCATTCCATTGCTTAGTGTCATTCCATTGCTTAGTGTCATAAAATTGCTTATAGTGTCATTCCATTGCCTAGTGCATACCATTGCTTAGTGTCATACCATTGTTTAGTGTCATTCCATTGCTTAGTGTCATTCCATTGCTTAGTGTCATACCATTGCTTAGTGTCATTCCATTGCTTAGTGTCATACCATTGCTTAGTGTCATACCATTGCTTAGTCTCATTCCATTGCTTAGTGTCATTCCATTGCTAAGTGTCATTCATTGCTTAGTGTCAATCCATTGCTTAGTATCATACTATTGCTTAGTGTCATTCCATTGCTTAGTGTCATTCCATTGCTTAGTGTCATAAAACTGCTTATAGTGTCATTCCATTGCCTAGTGCATACCATTGCTTAGTGTCATACCATTGTTTAGTGTCATTCCATTGCTTAGTGTCATTCCATTGTTTAGTGTCAATCCATTGCTTAGTGTCATTCCATTGCTTAGTGTCATTCCATTGCTTAGTGTCACACTATTGCTTAGTTTCATACCATTGATTAGTGTCATTCCACTGCTTAGTGTCATGTCATTGCTTTAGTGTCATACCATTGTTTAGTGTCATTCCATTGCTTAGTGTCATTCCATTGCTTAGTGTCACACCATTGCTTAGTGTCATACCATTGCTTAGTGTCATTCCATTGCTTAGTGTAATTCTTTTGCTTAGTGTTATTCCATTGCTTAGTGTAATTCTATTGCTCAGTGTCATTCCATTGCTTAGTGTCATTCCATTGCTTAATGTTATTCCATTGCTTAGTTTTATTCCACTGCTTAGTGTCATGTCATTGCATAGTGTCATACCATTGTTTAGTGTTATTCCACTGCTTAGTGTCATGCCACTTCCTAGTGTCATTCCACTGCTTAGTGTCATGCCACTGCTTAGTGTTTTCATGCTTGATATTACACAAATCATTTGGTTAAACAGTGATATTTAGTCCACCATTCACATTTGAAGCTATCTTAAACAATGTTAGACATATAGGGGAAGTGGGGTTGTTGGGTTTTTTTCGGTGGGGGAGGGGAAGCTCCCCACAAATCTGAAATTGAGTGTGAAAGTATGCCACATGTATATAATTTATGTGACAAATTTGTGAAATTTAAAAAAAAAAAAAAAAAGNNNNAAAAAAAAAAAAAAAAAGAAGGGGGTGGGGGGGGGGGTGTTCTCTGGCAGGAAAACAAAAAATCAGCAGAAATAGAGAATCATCATTTTTGTAAGTTTCACTTTTTATACATATAAGATCATTGTACACTTAGGGACAGGTGAGGGGGGGGGGAAGTATAAAAAATGTGCATGTGCAACAGGGGGCTAAGGGAGGGGATAAAAAAATTTGATTTTTTTGCATATGTAGTATATAGATGGCCACCAGAGTGACATTCACAGGGTCTCAGCAGACAGGGCGCAATGGAGTGAAATTAAAAGGGCCAATGCAACAGAGCAAAATAGAGTGAGATTCTTGATGCCCCAATGGTGTTGATAATGATGCTTAATTAAAAAAAATCTTGATGAGTTTTAATTTGTTGTCAGTCAGGAATTATATCAAGAAATGTATCTCTGAGTTGTTTAGTCAAATGAAATGAACATTGATAGATGACACAGTTCTTTGGATGCTAAATGAAATCAAAACACAGCCAGCTGCTACCAAGTAAAAACTATCTTGTACCTGGCTTTTGTCTGTGAATTAATCATGGACTCGACAGATTCTTGTACACTTGTTAGGGATGTCTGTTGAAACATAAAAGAACGCATCTTTTCATATGAAGGACATGGCTTGTTACAACATGTATAACAAAACAAGATAATAAAAAAAAAAACTTGAGGTTGAATACCATCCTCTGGGAATACAACATTACAAAACACAAGAAAATCAGATAAAAAGAAAACTTAGCTTCACATTATGAATTTGACAGGAGTGTCTAAGCCCAACAGAGAAATGTTACCAGGGTTTGACAGGAGTGTCTAAGCCCAACACAGAAATGTTACCAAGGTTTGACAGGAGTGTCTAAGCCTAAAACAGGAATGTTACCAGGGTTTGACAGGAGTATGTAAGTCCAACACAGAAATGTTACCAGGGTTTGACAGGAGTGTCTAAGCCTAACACAGGAATGTTACCAGGGTTTGACAGGAGTATGTAAGCCCAACACAGAAATGTTACCAGGGTTTGACATGAGTGTCTAAGCCTATCACAGAAATGTTACCAGGGTTTGACAGCAGTGGCTAAGCCTAACACAGAAATGCTACCAGGGACTACTTAGGAAGTATATTAAAAAAAATGCAAATATATTTGGTAATGAGGTCAATTGCCAATGTTTCAAAAAGTACATATTAGATTAAAGAAAAAATTGAGGTAACTTGAAGTTCACTATCAATAAAATAATTAATATCATAGGGAACAAATTTGATTTATTTTATTCTCATTCCTCATGCTTATTAGCGGTGTCGTTAATGATTTCCGCATGATAAATCAAGAGGTCACACATTTTAATGCCGTGGTACCTATCTATATTTAGGAGATTATTACTGGTGCAATTAACTGAGACCAACCAATAAATAAATAAGAAATCTCCCTAAATCTCTATTGATTTTATTTAACCTTTCTTGTGCCTTAAGCAATTAAAACACACCATAAATAGATTTGCCACTGTTATTAATTTAAAATACATTTCAATTCGGTGTAAAGAATTTATAGTTTTAAAAAATAATAAATATCTATAATCTGCTTCAAGTTATGACTTCTGTATCCAAGCTTCTCCCCCAACACACCTGCCCCAACATACTTGTCCCAGCTCCTCCCCCAACACACCTCCCAATCCAGCTGTCCAAACTCCTCCCCACCTCCCAATCCACCTGTCCCAGCTCCTCCCCCAACACAACTCCCAATCCACCTGTCCCAGCTCCTCCCCCAACACACCTCCCAATCCACCTGTCCCAGCTACTCCCCCAACACACCTCCCAATCCACCTGTCCCAGCTACTCCCCCAACATACCTCCCAATCCACCTGTCCCAGCTACTCCCCCAACACACCTCCCAATCCACCTGACCTAGCTCCTCCACCAACACACCTCCCAATCCACCTGTCCCAGCTACTCCCCCAACACACCTCCCAATCCACCTGTCCCAACTCCTTCCCCAACACACCTCCCAATCCACTTGTCTCAACTCCTCCACCAACACACGTCCCAAGCCACTATGTCAATAATGTTGTACATACAGAAAAATTGACAGCCAACAATTGGACCTCCCCAAGTTCTTGTTGGAAAGCAACCCACTCATGCATGACAAACGTCACAATGTAGATGTAGACCAGTTTATTGCCAAATCTACTGAAGGCGTTATCAATACAAATGGCATAGGTACCTGGGGATGTTCAGATTATCATTACAAAAGGCATATGTACCTGGAGATGTTCAGATTATCAATACAAAAGGCATATGTACCTGGAGATGTTCAGATTATCAATACACAAAGCATGGGTAGGCCTAGCTGTAAATATCCACTATCAAAGCCATAATAAGTTATAATGTAAATTTAAAACAGATATTGAATTTTATTAACAAACCAATATTATATCCATATTCATGATGCTGAGGTTTTAGACCCATGGGAGGTGGGTTGGTATAAAGAGGGCAGCACACATTTCATGAGATGTGAGTTGTTTTTATTTAACATCTGGCAGTAAATGAATTGAATATATTTGTAGTGCTCATGTTAAAGCTACAATATATTCATATTTTAAGTACCGTAAAATGTAAATTATCTTACAGTTTCTGTTTTCTCACATCCCCGTTTATCACTTCTTGGGCACAAATTTAATAAAACGTAATTTTTTATTGCAATAAAATGATAAGTCGCAGTTACATACCATCAGTGTTTGTAGTTCTTTAAATAAGTCTAATACAAGACTAGATTTTTGCTAGTCATAAAAAGAATGTTAAAAAAAATTAACATGCTTATCTTAACATTACTTAACAAGTAAAACAATATTTAACAACAAGGAGATATACAAGCTTTACACAAATAATAGAAAGTCTCTTAATAGTACTTGTAGGTTGACGTTGAGATAGAGTCGGCCTAGTCCCCTTGCCTTCATTCCTGCTAAAATGTTTCAGCCCTTTTTTGTTACTTGTTAAATTACTGATGCAATTTAAGATAATTTTTTTTCTCATGCTTTAACAAAGTTATTTTTAAATGCCTCCAACTGAGACATATTTATTTTCTAAAAAACCTGTCCTGCATTCAATTTTAAGAGTTTCTGAGGTAACCAATAGATGACAATAGATTATATCCATATGTGAATAAACCTGAATTATATCAATTCCTCATCACAGTTTACTGACCTGCATCCACATTGTCCTTGCTAAAAGAACCACTGGTTTGAAAATTCTGGTATTCCATAACATTCCATTGCTGATCTCTAATGTAAAAATCAACTTTATTTTCTCCTCCTTTCAAAACCTGGGAAGACACACACAAAATAATTCTTAATTAGTTTTTGTAACTTTTAATTTCCAGCTTTTTTTGGGGTGAAAGGTTAATCACTTAGTCTCAAGTACCCAGTTCATCACTTAGTCTCAAGTATCCAGTTCATCACTTAGTCTCAAGTACCCAGTTCATCACTTAGTCTCAAGTATCCAGTTCATCACTTAGTCTCAAGTACCCAGTTCATCACTTGGTCTCAATTATCCAGTTCATGACTTGGTCTCAAGTACCCAGTTCATCACTTAGTCTCAAGTACCCAGTTCATCACTTAGTCTCAAGTACCCAGTTCATCACTTGGTCTCAAGTATCCAGTTCATGACTTGGTCTCAAGTACCCAGTTCATGACTTAGTCTCAAGTACCCAGTTCATCACTTGGTCTCAAGTACCCAGTTATCACTTAGTCTCAAGTATCCAGTTCATCACTTAGTCTCAAGTACCCAGTTCATCACTTAGTCTCAAGTATCCAGTTCATCACTTAGTCTCAAGTACCCAATTCATCACTTGGTCTCAAGTATCCAGTTCATGACTTGGTCTCAAGTACCCAGTTCATGACTTAGTCTCAAGTACCCAGTTCAATCACTTAGTCTCAAGTACTCAGTTCATCACTTAGTCTCAAGTACCCAGTTCAATCACTTAGTCTCAAGTACTCAGTTCATCACTTAGTCTCAAGTACCCAGTTCAATCACTTAGTCTCAAGTACTAAGTTCATCACATAGTCTCAAGTACTCAGTTCATCACTTAGTCTCAAGTACCCAGTTCAATCACTTAGTCTCAAGTACTCAGTTCATCACTTAGTCTCAAGTACTCATTTCATCACAAAGTCTCAAGTACCCAGTTCATCACTTAGTCTCAAGTACTCAGTTCATCACTTAGGCTTCAGTAGAAAGATCATCACTGGGTTTGGCCTTATTAACAATACATAAGTGACAAGATGTTCATTTCTTATCTCAGGTAGAATCCCACATGTTTATTCTGCGGCATAATTCTTTTTAATTCAGGCTTTGAAACAGTCATAGGAAAATTTAGCAAAATAAAATTAACATTAATTATATATCTAAGATCAGTGAATGTAATTTTAATCTGACTATAGATGATCATTAGTCCCTGGATAATGGATTAAACATTGTTTGACTTTAGAGTAACCTACATCTGATGATGGTTAAAACATTTGTCTTACCATGGATTAATCTTGAGCAGACCATCATTGACCATGGCTTAACATTTAACCTTTCATACTAACTAAAATTGACAAACTTAAGTGTTAGTGATTCATACAATAACTTTTGGTGGACTTACTTGAACTTAATTTTTTTTTTCTTCAATGAGAGGTAACTCCACTTCTAAAAAATAATTTATTTACACCTCTTCCGCTAATGTTAGTTTAGTAAAGGTCCAGTCCACATCTAGTAATTTTTTTTGTTGTAATTTCATCATTATATTTGAGGCTGAGAACAGATTATTTTTTAAAATTATTCCTACTAACACAAACTCCATTCTATACAAGTAAAATTCAGCATTCATCCATTATTCATGAAGAGATTAATGATGAAGACAGTGGCTCCACTGTTAATGATTTTATCTCAGGTATAATCTGAAGAATAGCCTTCATGCAGAATGCAGAGTTTTATTTTTGCAGTTGGATCAATCAAGCGTGACATTTCAATTGTTCTCAGGCAAGTAGGCAGGTCGGCAGGTCATAATGAAGTGTCTTTTTAAAAATATTCTTCAAATTCCTTTTAATAAAAGTATTATTATTATTATTAGCCTATACATATTCTAATTGAGCCCTTATATTATAATATCTATCCAAACTAAATTATAAAAAAATTATTTTATTGTACTCGTTAAATTTTAGTAATTTCTTTACTTTTCTTAATGTTTGGCTGTTAATTAAAAATAATAATTAATAAGTGTTCAATATTTTATTTTTTTCCGACAAAGTCAAAGATCATACAAATAATATTATAATCATATTAAACATTATACATTTATTAATTATAGGCCTACATATGAAAAAATGTCACTAGTCACTCTGATCTAATGAAGATTTTCAAGGGAACATTTATTTATTTATCAGTTGCCAAAAAGGCGCACATTTCTGTAGTAGAGTTGAGGGTCTGTACTGTTGAAGTTTGTGCGCACAACTGTCAGAATGTAAATTTTATATTTAAGTTTAAGCCATAATTTAAGCCACTAATTATTTACTTTTAATTTTAAGCTTATTTACAAATAACAATAAATGTTTCATTTTTGTTGTAGCCACTGTCCATCTTTCTATCTCTACAATAAAACTACAATCCCTACGACTACGAATACCCTTAGTTATCCTTTTAAAGTAGGTTTTCAACAATTAATGAAAATGTAAGAAAATAATAAATAAATAAAATAAATACATCATTTAAAAAAAAAAAAAATAATAATAAAAAAACAAGTGCCAGTGACTCCTGTCAAATAGGTATTAGTTATCATTTTAAAGTAGGTTTTAAACAATTAATGAAAATGTAAGAAAATAATAAATAAATAAAATAAATACATCATTTAAAAAAAAAAAAAAATAATAATAAAAAAACAAGTGCCAGTGACTCCTGTCAAATAGGTTATTCGGAGTAGCCTAACTTGATTTGGCCTCTTTAGACAGGCACCTAACTACAGTGGGACTCACCTCGAAATTGACGTGAAAATTGGCTCCCTGGGCAACAGGTTGAAAAAAGCAGTCCTCAGTTTGACCCGGGATGTATACTTTAAATTCATGCTGTGCTCCTGGCAAACCGTCGAAATCAAACTCAGAATTTTCCTCCCCTAAAATTTTTTCACAACCTAACATTTGTACGTGGCAAAGAAACACCAGCAGTACACACTCACACAGCATGGCAACCCTTTTAGATTTAGGCAATTTAGCCAAACTGAAATGTTGCTTCATTTAATATCAAGAAGAAATAAAAACTTGGCTATGAAAATCGACGTAGAGAAATCCTTTATTTCTAAACAACAGTAAATAAATGTTTAATCAATACAGGATGAGTTGTCTAAATAACCCCAGCACATGAAAACATACGCTAGCGAAGACCACTACACGCAAGGCAATGAACTGGCTAACCTCCTAACACGGAGTGAAGGGAACACAGCGGCGCGCAGTGATCATTGTCGGCATATTTGCATGTAACACCAGCTGGCTCATCAAATAAATGCAAATGTAGATATCCGACAGGTAGATCTGTATTGGTCAAATTTTCTTCAAAGATATTGTTCACTGTGCTGCATCTTCTAAAATTCCACTCATTACCTAGCCACCGACCTGATAAAAATCATAATATTAATAACGAAATAAAACTGCTATAAACGAACATAAAACAGGTAATGTTTCAACAATTAAAGACTTACAAGACATACATAATGCTCAGTCTATGTGGGTTTTATTTTCAGTTGTCGATTTATTTGTTACGATTTTATCTACCGGTATTAAATAATAAACTATTATTGGCTGCAACTTATGTCCTTTAGGTCTATACATGAGTTGATTCTTTTGAGGTGAGACCACCTTACATGTTCAATATATTTTTGATAACCTACTGATTCCTCATTATTGTTAGGTTGGACGTCATTATTGTTAGGTTGGACGTCATTATTGTTATGTTGGACGTCATTTGTCACGTTTGGAGTCGAAAGCGTCAATAGCATTGTCATGAAGACGTCACGTGATTGCCACCTTTCGGATTGTTACCCCCCTGCATTCATAGATGATAGTTTAATTTTCCACATCACAACTTCGGACCCCGTCCCTACAGCTGTGACCCCCATGTCCCATACTGGAAGCTGTGACCCATATAGATAGCTGTGATGCCATGCCCCTTACGCATGTGACCCTATGTCCCAGACATAGTTACTAACCCTATGTCCCATACATAATTAATGACCCTATGTCCCAGACATAATTACTGACCCTATGCCCCATACATAATTACTGACCCTATGTTCCAGACATAATTACTGACCCTATGTCCCATACATAATTACCGACCCTATGTCCCAGACATAATTACTGACCCTATGCCCCATACATAATTACTGACCCTATGTCCCATACATAATTACTGACCCTATGTCCCAGACATAATTACTGACCCTATGCCCCATACATAATTACTGACCCTATGTCCCAGACATAATTACTGACCCTATGTCCCATACATAATTACTGACCCTATGTCCCAGACATAATTACTGACCCTATGTCCCATACATAATTACTGACCCTATTTCCAATACATAATTACTGACCTTATGTCCCATACATAATTAATGACCCTATGCCCCATACATAATTACTGACCCTATGTCCCTGACATAATTACTGACCCTATGTCCCAGACATAATTACTGACCCTATTTCCAATACATAATTACTGACCCTATTTCCAATACATATTACTGACCCTATGTCCCAGACATAATTACTGACCCTATGTCCCAGACATAATTACTGACCTTATGTCCAATACATAATTACTGACCCTATTTCCAATACATAATTACTGACCCTATGTCCCAGACATAATTACTGACCCTATGTCCCAGACATAATTACTGACCCTATGCCCCATACATAATTACTGACCCTATGTCCCAGACATAAATACTGACCCTATGTCCCATACATAATTACTGACCCTATGTCCCAGACATAATTACTGACCCTATGTCCCAGACATAATTACTGACCTTATGTCCAATACATAATTACTGACCCTATGTCCCATACATAATTACTGACTTTATGTGCAATACATAATTACTGACCCTATTTCCAATACATAATTACTGACATTATGTCCCAGACATAATTACTGACCCTATGTCCCAGACATAATTACTGACCCTTTGCCCCATACATAATTACTGACCCTATATCCCATACATAATTACTGACCCTATGTCCCAGACATAATTACTGACCCTATGTCCCATACATAATTACTGACCCTATTTCCAATACTTAATTACTACATGTTTTACTTAGTAGATAATTTAAAGCTTACACATTTTATTACTAAAAAATGAAAGAAAAGAAGAACGGTTCATTAAACAGACTAGTTAGAACGCACTAAAAGGTAGGAAATAATTGACTATTTCTTACAATGCATTACGCAAAGAAAGTTTGTGCAGAAAATATTTTCAAAAATAAATAAAAATAAAACATAATATTTTTTTTTATTAAGTTTCGCCTACACTGAATTTGAATACTTTGGCTTCATAAGTGCTCATCTACACTTTAGCACAATCTTTCTTTGGCTTCATAAGTTGCTCATCTACACTTAAGCACAATCTTTCTTTGGCTTCATAAGTTGCTCATCTATACTTGAGCACAATCTTTCTTTGGCATCATAAGTTGCTCATCTACACTTGAGCACAATCTTTCTTTGGCTTCATAAAGTGCTCATCTACACTTTAGCACAATCTTTCTTTGGCTTCATAAGTTGCTCATCTACACTTCAGCACAATCTTTCTTTGGCTTCATAAGCTGCTCATATACACTTCAGCACAATCTTTCTTTGGCTTCATAAGTTGCTCATCTACACTTGAGCACAATCTTTCTTTGGCTTCATAAGTTGCTCATCTACACTTGAGCACAATCTTTCTTTGGCTTCATAAGTTGCTCATCTACACTTGAGCACAATCTTTCTTTGGCTTCATAAGTTGCTCATCTACACTTGAGCACAATCTTTCTTTGGCTTCATAAGTTGCTCATCTACACTTGAGCACAATCTTTCTTTGGCTTCATAAGTTGCTCATCTACACTTCACGTGTTAGAAAGAAACCGAAGTATTCACGAGTAGAACACTTTAGCACAATCTTTCTTTGGCTTCATAAGTGCTCATCTACACTTTAGCACAATCTTTCTTTGGCTTCATAAGTGCTCATCTACACTTGAGCACAATCTTTCTTTGGCTTCATAAGTGCTCATCTACACTTGAGCACAATCTTTCTTTGGCTTCATAAGTGCTCATCTACACTTCAGCACAATCTTTCTTTGGCTTCATAAGTTGCTCATCTACACTTCAGCACAATCTTTCTTTGGCTTCATAAGTGCTCATCTACACTTTAGCACAATCTTTCTTTGGCTTCATAAGTGCTCATCTACACTTTAGCACAATCTTTCTTTGGCTTCATAAGTGCTCATCTACACTTTAGCACAATCTTTCTTTGGCTTCATAAGTTGCTCATCTACACTTTAGCACAATCTTTCTTTGGCTTCATAAGTGCTCATCTACACTTGAGCACAATCTTTCTTTGGCTTCATAAGTGCTCATCTACACTTTAGCACAATCTTTCTTTGGCTTCATAAGTGCTCATCAACACTTTAGCACAATCTTTCTTTGGCTTCATAAGTGCTCATCTACACTTCAGCACAATCTTTCTTTGGCTTCATAAGTTGCTCATCTACACTTCAGCACAATCTTTCTTTGGCTTCATAAGTTGCTCATCTACACTTCAGCACAATCTTTCTTTGGCTTCATAAGTTGCTCATCTACACTTCAGCACAATCTTTCTTTGGCTTCATAAGTTGCTCATCTACACTTCAGCACAATCTTTCTTTGGCTTCATAAGTTGCTCATCTACACTTGAGCACAATCTTTATTTTTCTTCACAAGACTCATCTACACTTGAGCACAAGCTTTCTTTGCATAATGCATTTTTTAAAGAATTCATATCTACTCTTTAGTAGACTTTAACTCGTCTTTGATGGGATATTTTTTTTATTATTAAAAAAATGCTTAAAAAATATTTGTTTTTATTCCTTTTACAAAGTTATTTCACTTTATCGATAAAACAAAAATAATTTGGTGAACATATCTTAATTTTATATGGTAGGCCTTACTTATTTGTTAGCGAGCTAATATGTCACCCGTTAATTCGATGAGGACCCCTTTATCATTCGATTTATGCTCAGGCTGACTGTCTGAGGTTGACTCTGTCTGTGGCTGATCGTCTGTGGCTGACTCTGTCTGAGGTTGACTCTGTCTGTGGCTGACCGTCTGTGGCTGACTCTGTCTGTGGCTGTCTCTGTCTGTGGCTTCTCTGTCTGTGGCTGTCTCTGTCTGTGGCTGACTGTCTGTGGCCGACTCTGTCTGTGACTGTTTCTGTCTGTGGCTGATTATGTCTGCGGGTGACTCTGACTGTGGCTGACTCTGTCTGTGGCTGACCTTGTCTGAAGCTGAATCTGTCTGAGGCTGAATGTGTATGTGGCCGACGCTGTGGGTGCTGATGAGACATACTGTGGCACGAAATTCTTGTGAAGTAGCTGCAAGGGAGAGATGGGACATCCCCCCCCCGGTGCAGTAGGTGTAAGGGAGAGATGGGACACCCCCCAACCCCCCGGTGCAGTAGGTGTAAGGGAGAGATGGGACATCCCCCAACCCCCGGTGCAGTAGGTGTAAGGGAGAGATGGGACATCCCCCAACCCCCGGTGCAGTAGGTGTAAGGGAGAGATGGGACATCCCCCAACCCCCGGTGCAGTAGGTGTAAGGGAGAGATGGGACATCCCCCAACCCCCGGTGCAGTAGGTGTAAGGGAGAGATGGGACATCCCCCAACCCCCGGTGCAGTAGGTGTAAGGGAGAGATGGGACATCCCCCAACCCCCGGTGCAGTAGGTGTAAGGGAGAGATGGGACATCCCCCAACCCCCGGTGCAGTAGGTGTAAGGGAGAGATGGGACACCCCCCCCCGGTGCAGTAGATGTAAGGGAGAGATGGGACATCCCCCCCGGTGCAGTAGGTGTAAGGGAGAGATGGGCCATCCCCCAACCCCCCGGTGCAGTAGGTGTAAGGGAGAGATGGGACATCCCCCAACCCCCGGTGCAGTAGGTGTAAGGGAGAGATGGGACATCCCCCAACCCCCGGTGCAGTAGGTGTAAGGGAGAGATGGGACATCCTCAGATGCAGTACTTACCCAAGGGACAGATGCAGTACTTACCCAAGGGACAGATGCAGTACTTACCCAAGGGACAGATGCAGTACTTACCCAAGGGACAGATGCAGTACTTACCCAAGGGACAGATGCAGTAGTGATCCCGGGATTAACAAAAATAGTACTGCTTGTTGTACAGCAGCTGTTGTGTTAACTTCGTGTTACCTAAAGCATTTGTGTATCTAAGAACTCCAAGAAGATAACTAATGTGCCGATTGAAACACGTGTCCGGGTCTTTGCAGAACACCTTCAATGAGGCTTTGAAGTATTTCCTCTGTTCACCAGCATATTGCCTGCCCTGCTCAAGCTTTTCGAA